ACTTCTATGAATAAATGTTTCTATGAATGAAGTTTTACAACTTCTTAGCTGCAAAAGTCAAAAACCTGCAGAGAAGATTCTGCCATCGGGAAACTAATAGATTTTAAAGTCGTTTTGTTTTTAGCACAGTTTACAGGCCCAAATGCGAGAAAATTGCGAAATGTTCAAGTTTCTTTAGGACTCAGTGAAGCTCAATCCGCTTCGAGTTTGTTTTTGTTTGCTGACTTATTTTGGGTTTGTTGGGTTTTAATTATCGCTTATCAGCTGTGTTTATGCCTTTGATACACCGCAAACACTTAAACACTAATCAGCTACTGCTGGAATATTTGGAGATTTCGCCCCTATTTACTTTGACAAATCAAATAGTACTTTTGGAAAATATTGGACGATTGACTGAGTTCTTAAAGTAAAATACTATCGCTACGTAGTAGATAATTCCTCCATTTCAGATAGGTATCATGCCAAGAATGCCTTGAGAAACTATTTATAGGCAAAACCGTGTTTCCGACTATTCGATTCCGAATTAGTTTGACGAAAACCCAGTAAAAAGTTGATCATCTAATGGAAAATTCGATTATTTTTAATCTACCAAATAAATTCTCCTGTTATTACCATCGTTGCGATGTTAACATTAAATATCACGAAAACACGATAAAGAGCGATGATACATGGTTTATAATTTAATGATTTTCAACCGATCTTAAGCAGAGTTTTTTCATGTTTCATGTGTAGTTGCGCTTTGTTCATATCCTGAAATAATCAATATCACGCTGTAAAAATGTGTGCAAAATTAACAAAGACATGAAATGTTTTTCGGGTTTTGAATTCGTGGTCCATGGGAATTTCTTCCTGACGTTTCGTCCACAACTGCGGTGGACATTATCAAAGGCGATGAGGCAGTGGGCGAAGTGATCTCCCGTGCTTACCAACTAAGACTGGTTCAACTACTGGATCCCCTGTCGTATTTATGCGGCCACAGGGGATCCAGTAGTTGAACCAGTCTTAGTCGGTAAGCACGGGAGATCACTTCGCCCACTGCCTCATCGCCTTTGATAATGTCCACCGTAGTTGTGGACGAAACGTCAGGAAGAAATTCCCATGGACCACGGCTTCAAAGCCAGAAAAACAATTCTTGTAGGGATAAAGTCTTGTTTTCACACCTAAAGGTATTTTTGTGTCTGATTACTTTCTGGAGTTACACACGTTTCGTTTGCACAGGTTTTTTCGTGTGAAAAAAAAGGTTTTCTTTAATAATATTCCCATGGACGACGGCTTCAAAGCCCGAAAAACATTTCTAAAGGCGTATAAATGGTGTTTGAGCATTGATTGAATGTTTGAGACGTTTTGGTCTTCCATTTTTAAGGGAATAAATGGATCAGTGTTGGCTCGCGTATTTGCTTTATTCATTTGAAAGAGATTGGCAAGTAAATTTTTAAAAGCTGTATATGAAATGCAAAAATAGTCAAATCAAATGAATTTAATTGTATTTTTTCCAATACATATGAAGATTTGTGTTCTAATTACCGGTGCAAGAGACGCATTTTCGACCTGGTTTTTTTAGGCTCAGCTTCATGAATTCCATGATTTCCATCAATGTATCCAGGGAGAATAGCCGATGACTTTGCCACAATTGATCTTAATTACACATTATCTTAGATTAGTTCTAATACCTTTATTTCCCTAAAACTTGATAATCGCTACTTAAGATAAGGAGTAGCTCATCATTTACCAATACTGCCGGAGGAATTTAGAACATCATAAATTAGCTTAGGAAGCCTAATTTCGGTTTAGAATCGAAATGCTTCACAACTGACGGTTTCTGAAAGAAAATGGTTCAATTTGGATTTAACTCAGTTAAATTTAGTCGGGATACCTTACCTTTTATCGCCAAGTGACTGGGTTATTATCAATCAATTATGTTATTTGAAAACTCCAATTAACCACATGCTATCATTGTAACAAGATATTTTAAGTGGGTTTAGAAGACGGGTTCGATCGATCATGTTGTTTTCCAATGATTTATGCTGCCAGCACGTAAACCGATCCGAAACTGCTTGCCAGGTTGAAAACTAAATTATTATAAATTATCCAGGATTCAGGCGTATTTTCAGCCTCGTAGGTTGAGAGTGTTCCGAAACCTTCATGCTATCTGTCTTCATAATTTATGCATGTATGTATTTATTCTCCAATGTATAATTGCATATATTTGGCCTCCAATTAAAACATCCATAAAAGCTAATAAAATTGTAAAGATAAACGTTATATTTTTAGAAAAACGCGTATGCAATTTGAAACTTATTTAATTGCGTGTTATCGTAAACGCTAAAGTTAAATGCCCAATAACCCCCCTTTGTGTAAAGTGTAATTTCAATGAGAATCCGAAAACTTTCCACATCCTTTATCACTAATAAATAATTGCTGAATACTTTCATAATTTCACTCGCTTGCAACACGATAGTGATGCTCATAATAAAAATCAAGGCCTATTGATTAGGGCAAATGTTTGTTTATCTCTTTTGCCACAGTGTCTATGTATAGCATGTTTGTTTTGTATCAATGCAGACTACGCAACAGTGTCTCATCAGTTCGTTTCTGATGTTTTGAAGCCCGATATTAGAACAATCTTGTGTAAATACCAATGTGATTGTGGTTTTACCTATCGTGATGAGCAAAAGTGTGTTTGTTCAGATTTCAATGGTTTCAAGCCGAACTAGGCCATCGGCCATTGAAATACAATAGTTGATGATAAATGTTCTTCAAAGCGCCAATATTAGTTTTGCGTCACAGATACTTTATATTGCTGTTTACTGTACTGTTGGAAGCATATTCAAAAGAAGACACAGAGTGGCCCAAGGATGTGGAATAATCGGTACCTCCAAACGGCCACAGATTGAGAAACTTAGCCGTTCCGTTAATGAAAGTTTGAACCGAAAGAAGGAAAAAAGCGCAACTCTTGGTCGTTCCACGTTAAAACCACCAGATTATATCTCCTACTGTTTCCGGAAAATTAATTTTTCCAGTACTCCTTATTAAGAGAATTATGAGGAAAAAAATGAGATTATTGGAAGAGTGCTAATGTCTTAAATGCAGAAGGATATTAAGTTTATTTTCTTACTGATTAACATTATTATTTATACAATCGAAAGCGAGTGTTCAACTTACTGGCGATAACAAACATGTTATTTGGATTCGAAAAACAAAAACATATGGATAATGCTAAATAAGCAAATAATCGTGAATATTTGTCTTCGTTCCTGGATAGGACTAAAATCTTGCCCAAAACACTCAATTGTTGAGTGTCCGAACTGGTTCTTGGTAAATTTCGCAATTAAAAAAAAAACTTGACTTTTTTGAACAAAAAACATAAAACTGGAACCCATATTTGCATATCTGAAACTGTTCTTTGGAGACAAGATTCAGATGATTTCTTGTAAAGAAACCTATGGTTTAATCGGAACCCAATCCGCACAATCAGTAAGCTSATGCTTCTTGTATTGAATACTGGAACCCAAATGTCCCTATCTGAAGCAGTTTTTTGACAAAAAGCTTCAGATGAGCTTGATGTAAAAAAACAAAGCCGCCCAAAATATTCCCAAAGTTTGAAATTTTCTTGTGAAGGAACCTATGGTTTAATCGGAACCCAATCCGCACAATCAGTAAGCTCATGCTTCTTGTATTGAATACTGGTACCCAAATGTCCCTATCTGAAGCAGTTTTTTAACAAAAAGCTTCAGATGAGCTTGATGTAAAAAAACAAAGCCGCCCAAAATATTCCGAAAGTTTGAAAATTTCTTGTGAAGGAACCTATGGTTTAATGGGAACCCAATCCGCACAATCAGTAAGCTGATGCTTTTTGTATTGAATACTGGAACCCAAATTTCCCTATCTGAAGCAGTTTTTTAGCAAAAAGCTTCAGATGAGCTTGATGTAAAAATACAAAGACTCCCAAAATATTCCCAAAGTTTGAAATTTTCTCGTGAAGGAACCTATGGTTAAATCGGAACCCAATCCGCACAATCAGTAAGCTGATGCTTCTTGTATTGAATACTGGAACCCAAATTTCCCTATCTGAAGCAGTTTTTTAACAAAAAGCTTCAGATGAGCTTGATGTAAAAAAACAAAGCCGCCCAAAATATTCCCAAAGTTTCAAAATTTCTTGTGAAGGAACCTATGGTTTAATCGGAACCCAATCCTCACAATCAGTAAGCTCATGCTTCTTGTATTGAATACTGGAACCCAAATTTCCATATATGAAGCAGTTCTTTAGCGAAAAGCTTCAGATGAGCTTGATGTAAAAATACAAAGACGCCCAAAATATTCCCAAAGTTTTACAATTTCTTGTGAAGGAGCCTATGGTTTAATGGGAACCCAATCCGCACAATCAGTAAGCTGATGCTTCTGGTATTGAATACTGGCACCCAAATTTCCATATCTGAAGCAGTTCTTTAGCGAAAAGCTTCAGACTGATGATTGATGTAAAAATACAAAGTCGCCCAAAATTGTATTCTTATCATTAAAAATTAACTACAACAGAACCAATAGCTCAATCGGCTCGAAATCCACCCTACGAGTCAGTTGATGAATATGACACTAAAAGTTGTAGATGTAGAAGGAGATCAGGGGCAAAGTAATGCTAAGCTTACGGAAAGCTGCGTAGCGCCACCTGGAAAGAACGAAGAAAATGTGTCTAACACAGCAGGAAATCTGTACAAAGCCAAACTTAATTCAAATCAGCAAAGCAAAGAGAGAGAAATATAAAAAATTCATAAAACTTCAGTTGCTTGTCGGAAAACTAAACTCAGTTCTCTACCTAAACTCACCAGCTTTTTGCAAGCTGGCGCCCCATCCTCCAGTTTCCACTCATACATTTTTCAAACTATTTTTGGGTTTGGGTCACTGTGGTCCCATTCGGTGCTCAATTGTGTATAATATAGTAACACTAAAATGTGATAATTACAAATTTCTCGTCAATCGCTTTAACTGTGTTAATTTTGTTTCAGCTGATGGAGTTACATATTCGTTTGGAATTTTCTACGACGAGTTTCTCGAATACTTCAAGGAAGGCAAAGGACTGACATCATGGATTTTATCCATTCTCGTAGGCGTAACATTATGTTCGGGTAAGTTCAGTAGCAAAATAAATTGCGTACAATTTTTTTCGGGTTAAAGTGCGTTATGGAAACCATGCACCAGAAGGTTAATTTTAAGTAAAAAAGCTCCTGTACTTAAATGCAAGTCTGGAATCGCTTCCAAAGAAAAATTTCTATTTAGTTTAAATTACTTAATTACCACAACAGCAGACGTTGATCAAGAACAGTTTCGAAATAAAGTGACGATAAAATGGCGTAATTTGCACTAGCAAAGACAAAGTGAACAAATTGACAAATCCCTCAATTGCTAGTAGGAATGAACGTTTTCCTTTACATTTCCAGGTCCAATTTCCAGTTCATTAGTCAATAGATGGGGATGTCGAGCGGTTACGATAGCCGGGGCAGTTTTAGCCTCAGCATCCATGGTGATCTCTTTCTGGGCCCAAAATGTCCTCACCTTATGCATCACCATTGGCATAGGAACAGGCTTCGGGTTCGGCCTGATTTACCTCCCAGCCATCGTGAGCGTTACGATGTACTTTGAGAAGAAACGCTCACTCGCAACGGGAATTGCGGTCTGCGGCTCTGGATTTGGCACGTTCATTTTTGCTCCGATCATATCCAGACTGTTGAGTGAGTTTGGCTGGCGCGGCAGTATCTTGATTATCGCCGGCATTGTCTTGGAATGCACCCTGTTTGGAGCGTTGTTCCGACCATTGGAGAACGACACAACGGCGCCAAAGAAAGAAGACCATCTGTTGGTTAAAGCGTGCGACGCCAAAGTGGATATCCACGTTTCGGAACATGATTTTACCGAGTACGCGCCCAGCTACCTGAATGGGAGCAACCAGATGCACAGGCCTCATAGTGTAGCTCACTTTACGCTGCCCAAGAGCTACAAGCACGAGATGAACGGAAATATCCCTCAAAATATCAAACCGAGTGATGTGACCAGACTGGCGCTGAGCCAACCGATGCTGACACAATCAGAAACTCATTATAGGTATGTTCATGAAGTTTTGAAGCATGAAGCAAAGTATATTCGTACAATATTGGCTATAAGCAACATTCTGGATGGCTCAATATTGTTAATAAATATTGCGCCAATATTGAAATGTGAACATTATTACATATTGGTGAAATATGTTACTCCAATATTCAGTAAATATTGCGATACATATCCCAGGTAGCAAAATATATTCGTACAATATTGGCTATATGCAACATACTGGATGGCTCAATATTGTTAATAAATATTGCGCCAATATTGAAATGTGAACATTATTACATATTGGTGAAATATGTTAC